AATTACAGGTTGTTACCACCTTGCCAGGTTTGTTCAATTATAATTTTGCAGAAGAGAAAACCGAGATCTAAAAATAGAAGGTAACTTGCCCAAGGTAATCAGTAGTGAGGCTCGCCTGCACTGTACTGCTCCTGCAGCACAGCTCTTTCGATAAGCAGCTGACGCTACAGGCAGCTGTGGACCTTGCTCTATCCACTCTACCTCTTCCTAGGTGTCTGCACCCAGCCCCTGCTCCATCTGTGGCATTCTGCAGGCACGTCTCAGGCAGCGTGGTGGAAATTGCATGCGACGACCCTGGAGCAGATCTCTTGCTGTCTTTACCACTCACTACCTGTACAATCCGATGGAAGTTCCGTTCACAACCCTCGCTAGCCTCATTTTATTCCTCCACTGAAAAGAGCGTTGAATAAGCACACGCACATCTGAGGGCTGCTGGGGACATCCCTTGAACTACACAGGAAAGGGTCCTTAGCACTGCACCAACCCTGGCATGCAGGCTGCCCCTCCGCAGTGGTACCTCATAAGCCAACTTACTACACAGAAGTTAACTCAATGTTTTCACCAACCGCAGTCAGTCAGCAGCTCAGTTGAGGGCTGGTGGGAACCAGACTTTCCTCTCCCAGAACCAGCCAGCCTCGCTTTTCCTGCCGCCAGCCAGTCTTCTACTTACATAACAGGTTGAACTGCAGCGCAGGAAGGAAAGGCCCAGACTAGCTCCATCCTTCACACTGTACATTGCTCTCAATTCCTTTTAGCTAGATTAGGGTGCTCTGAACTAATAATCTTCGGTTCTCACGGTAGAAGCCCTGAGCAGGATTTTGGCTGCTTTTTTTTCTTTATTTGAAGGTGGGGGGGGGGGGGGGGGGGGGGCACCGGGGGATGGACACACGACACTTCCACATAGCTCTTGCTAGTATGGAACGGGCTAATACCATTAATACCAGAAGACGACCTTGAACTCCCCATCCTCCTATTTTCACTGCCCACATTCTAGATTACATGCCCGAGCCGCCACACAAAGCATTCATTTTAAAAACAACTCAATGACACCTTTTCAGAGAAAGCAACACTTAAGGGAGGAACTGTGTGTATGATGACCATCATCTGTTGTACATGTCAGTCAGCTCTGTAAGGACAGTCTCTGTGGCTCACACATCCAGGATCCATATTCCCTGGACCACAACAAACCATGCAGTAAGCGTGTGATGGACAAAGGCATTTAAGCCAGCTCAGTATTTCAAGCACCCATTATGAACCAAGCAGTACTAGCAGCAATATGAATCAAACATTGACTCGTACTTGGGTGGTATGTGCCCACCCCAAGACAATCGAAGCCTTACAAGTGTTACTCCTGTTTAGGCAAATAAAGAATCAGGCCTCGTATGAATTCTCCTCACCTGGAAATGGAGGAAGCAGGATTTGAACCTAGGTCCTCTACTCACTTGCCTCCCTACTCACTTGCCTTCCAGGCTCTGTTTGTGTGTTTTTTTCCTCCTGCACACACAGGAGAAGCGATGAGCTCCCCACCTATCCCTGCTGGCAGTGACTCAGACAGGAGCTTGCATTACTGTCTCCTCCACTCTGGAAGCATCACCGGATTCTAGGGTGGGATCTGCAGGAGCTGCAGCAGCATCCTGCCTGCTCTCAGTGCTGAAGGCTTGTGTGGGATCTGCAGGAGCTGCAGCAGCATCCTGTCTGCTCTCAGCGCTGGCCTTGCTAATTAGATCCTCTTTCATTCTCTGAGCATTTCCCCTCACTTGACTGACTTGCTAATCTTAGTGGCATCCCTCTAATGCAGAAGACAAGCATAATTAGTCCTAGCGGGAGATGAACAACAGAAGGAAAAACACTGGACCTCTGTCCGCCTCCTGTCCTGTGCACCTCTTTTCCTGGAAGAAGTGTTTTTAGCTTTCTCTTTTCCTTCTACACTGCTTTTTGGCGTTCCACTTCTGATAATAATTTGTGTCTGCTTTGACTCTCAACGCACAAATTTGGGGCTCAAAGATCCCGCATAGTTTATTTTTTAGCTTTTGGATCATCTCTGTCTAACTTGAGTCTTCCATCGCTCTGGGCTTGTGGCAGAACCAGTCTCGGTTTCGATTGCCCATAGCTGACTATCCTATGTCAGTATCCAGGAGCAGAGAGCCACCTCCCAACTTCCCTGAGGCTGTGGTCTCTGCTGCCAGGTGCTGGGATGCCAGTAATCCATGCCTTCAGATCCAGTGCTCTGCCAAGCAGAATTCGGTTATTAGCCTGATCAGGTGAGATAGAGTCTCACTGTGGGGCCCTGGCTCATGCTGTAGACCAGGCTGGCCTTGAACTCACAGAGGTCTGCCTGCTTCTGCCTCCTGAGTGGTGGATTAAAGGTATGTGCCACCACACCCGGCCCAATAGCTATTCTGTGAAATGACAAGAAAGCAAGTCTCAGTCCTCAGGTATCTGCCACATTGTTGACCCTTCCAGGGCTCTCTCCTGCTTTTCAGTTTCTGTGATGAGTGCTGGC